CTTGGGAAGCAAAAATTGTTGCATGTTGTTTATGGTTGTGTGTGACTAATTTAATGGAATTATAGCACGTAATCTATCTAACCAGGTAACTTTATTTATACTAAGCGCGGACAGGGTTGCCAACTTTCAAGCAACAATCCTCCTCCACTTTCACAGGTGATTACAAACACTCTGCAGAAGAAAATCTGGTGGGGCGAATGAAATAAACGTGATTGGCAGATTCTGATGGAGCAGGCTAAAGTTGACCAATTTGGGTGGCCATTGCCCCCCCGACCACTTCTAGATCCAGCCGTGCTCCCAATTCTGAATTATCTGTCCGTCTCTATAGCTTATTATTCTGTAGATGAACAAAGATATTCTTTAACCTTACAGACACCATAGAACATTGTATAGAAATGTTTTATGTACATTTTATTATGTTCATTTCTGTATTACATATAAAAGTGATGTGATTTCTTTTGATGCATGGCCCACAATCCATGGAAAAAAGGACTTAAATGCTCTAATGTAAACACTTCCAGGTAGAAGCCAGCATGAACCAAATACTGTAAGCCTGTGAGATTCATCCCTTTCTAACTCTATCCCACCAGGGAGTTTAATGAATGTCAGGATGTCAGTGTCTGCTCTCTCTCTTTCTCCTGCACCCCACCTGACAACTCCAACCACAGCACAGAGTCCAGGAAGGAAGCTCCATTTACACTTGGACTTTTGCTTGGATATTGTCAAGTAAGGAAAACTAATGCAAATATAAAGGCACTACATACCTTTTGATGGCATTTTATTTATGCTGACTTCTATCTGTAACTATTTATATTGTAGCATTTAAGTCCTTTGTTCTATGGATTGTGGGCCATGCATCAAAATAAATCACATCAGTTTTACATGTAATACAAAAATGAACATAATAAAATGTATATAATAAAACATTTCTATACAATGTTCCATGGTGTCTGTAAGGTTAAAGAATGTTTTTGTTCATCTACAAAATTATAAGCTATAGAGACGGAGAGAGATAATTCAGAATGAGTAGTAGAAAAACATTTGCGTATGAACGCAAGATTCTGAGGTATGCAGACATACAGTAGCAGCCGAGGCAGAACAATGAGGCTGGAGTAACCAGGTGTCCCAGTAGAGGCAGGATGTGGAGGGTTTGTAGCCACGGCAACAACTAGGCTTGTGAAGGAGATGGGAGTACAAGGGGAGGCCTTCTGTCTAGGCATCAGGTCACTATCAGAAGCTGCCAAGCGAAGCAGTAACTGGATTTGGCTGAAGAGAAAGGATCCCAACGGGGCTGACTAGTGGACCCTGAGGTGAGGTCATTTCTCCATAGTACAAGGTCTGACATTTGTGGCGGAATCTCGCGATTTGTGCGTGATTTAAATAATTCCCGCAAATCCAGCGTATATAATGCGGGACATTCCTACACTTAAACTGCCATATAAGTGAAGATGAATATAAATAAAAAAGCAAAGATGAATACCACTTTATATATTGTGATTGCAGCAGCAACACTTTAAGAATAAAAAAAACTAGCTGTACACAGATCCACTACAGATGTGACGTCACACCTCTCACCCTGACATACTCGCCTCCCCCAGTGTTAATAAGAAACCTACGCCTCTGGGCCCATGTGTCTTAAGCCATAAAATAGAAAGTTTCACTTGCCTGCTTCCTGTATTTCCACCCGTGTTTCACGTTGCTCCTGCTCTGTATAAACCACACACTTGTACTCTCCTGCATCTGCAGTCCTCACACCGTCAAGCAGCAGAGAGAAGTTGCCTTTGGGGATTTCCTGAGAGAAGAAGTGGGCTCTGCCCCTGTAGGCATCCCCCTGTGATCCAGGTCTGCTCTGACCCCCCTGGAATAGGTGCACGATGGTGTCTGAATCAGTCCTTCTCCAGTCCACCTCCACCTCCTCCAAAGGCAGGGGTCTGTCCACAAAGCAGGGCAGCAGTACAGCTCCTCCCAGCCGGGCTGTTAGAGGACCAGCAGAGCCGTGTAGCAGGAAACCTGCCGCAGGGATAAGAGATATAAAATCTCTTCATGACTACAAAGCATTAAATAATAAGCGCAGAACATGCATTGCAATGCGGTTACTTGAATAATTTGTATGAAAATATTGGTACATTAATTAGTACACTCAAAACAATAACTACTCAATTACATTTCTTCAACATTTTTATACAAGGTACCAGACACATGAAACTGTCTTTAAAATGTACATACCATCAGAGATAACATCGAACTTCAACAAGATTAAAATAACGATGAAACGTTTGATCTGCATCGTCACCTTTATCCTTATTCTAATAATTGTTTCTATGACAGGCAAATTTTGCCATAAATTTTCTTTTTTATAAACGGCCTATATGCGCTTTTATTAACACCGTTATATCCCTACAGGAAATGCGTCTTTCTGACAATACTTTTACTTTCAGTTTACACCATGCAGGAGCTGAATCACGCCCAACACGAAAACGGTAAAATAGTGGTGTGCGGATTGATACTGAAATATCGATATTTCAGATACCAGATATTTATGTTCTAGAATCGATTCTCATATTAAAATATCGATATTTTAGTAATTTGGGGTAAATCTGTAGTTTACAGGAACACAGTGGAAAGTAACTATACTACCAGGATCATTTAAATGATACCCAGTTGATAGGAACTACTTCTTCTTCCGCCAGTCATAGTCATATTTGAAATACGGCTGTATAAATGCGTAGGCATCGCAGGGCGCGGCTGTGCTCACTCGCTTAGTTGACAACAATGGCTGAGTGTAAGTGGAGTTATGTATGGAGCTATTTCAGCTCCGCAAACAAGCAGGACGATGTGACATATGTAGCAAGACAGTGAGGTGTTGTGGCAAATCGTCAAACACCCCAGAGTAAATAATAATACAGTATTAAAGAAATACGTTCATTGTCCCCCTGTTACTGTAATGGTTTGGGAAGTTGTGATTGTTTGGCTCCATTACTCACAGTTTGGTGGAAAACCTCCAACTCCCCCAGTAGACATACATAACGACGCTGAAGTTGGCTCCTTATTCGCAGCGCCTTATTCGGATTTTCTGGTCCACCTTAAATGCTTCGCAGCCCAATGCAATGACACGATTGCGCCTGTAGGGGGACCATTTTAATACCTTAAACCTCTCTGTGCCTGGCAAATATCAACTTCTCAGTACACGTCAAGTATCCTACTATATAGAGAAAGTGACATTGTCCTGGCACAGACTGATTTAATACTTTAAAATCAGATCGAAACAAGGCATGTCATACTATTCTGCACAATGGTGTGAATGAGAAGCCAGGTTTCCGTGCCCATTTTAATGTCATAAACCTCTCTGGGCCAGGCAAGTATGAACTTCTCAGTACACATCAGATGTCCTACTATATAGAAAAGGTCAAATTGTCCTGGCCCAGACTGATTTAATACTTTAAAATCAGATGGAAACAATCCATACTATTCTGCACAATGGTGTGAATGAGAAGCCAGGTTCCATGACCATTTTAATGCCTTAAACCTCTCTGGGCCAGGCAAGTATGAACTTCTCAGTACACATCAGGCATCCTACTATAAAAAAAAAGTCAAATTGTCCTGGCCCAGAGAGGTTTAAGGTATTAAAACAGGCCGCCCTGTTAAAATAACAAAGAAAACGTCGAGGAAACTAGTCAGAGAAGTAAGAACAAACCCTAAGGTGACTCTCAGTGACCTGCAAAGCTCAGTATCTGCAGCTGCAGTGGATGTGCACAAGACCACAGTATCAAAGGCTTTGCACAGAGAGGGGCTACAGTATATGGCAGATTTGCCAGAAAAAGCCACTACTAAAAAAATGTAATCTGAAAGCACGATTAGCTTTCGCTAACAGACATATTGACAAGAGTCCTGCATTCTGGAGTCATGTACTTTGGTCTAATGAGACCAAAATGGAACTTATTGGCCTCAACACAAAGACGGTAGTCTGGTGGATGGAAGGGACTGCCAATGATCCGGCAAACACCATACCCACCATCAAGCATGGTGTAGGGAGCGTCATGCTTTGGGGCTGCTACTCTAGGGCAGGCACTGGGTCCCTTGTCCGTATTGAAGGAACAATGGATAGTAAGAAGTATATCCAGATTTTGGAAGAAAACCTTCAAACGTCAGCCATCAAATTGGGACTCGGACGACGCTACCACTTTCAGCAGGACAATGACCCAAAACACTGTGCAAAAGTAACCAAAGCATGGTTTGACAAAAAGGTTTTGCAGTGGCCTAGCCAGAGTCTGGATCTGATTCCAATTGAAAATTTGTGGTGTGATCTCAAAATTTCAGTTCACAAACTAAAGCCTTCAAACTTGGCCCAGTAGGAACAGTTCTGCAAGGAAGAATGGGGAAAATTGCCTCTGTCCAGATGTGGTAAGCTTGTGGAGAGGAGGAGTGGGCAATACCAGGAGTTGCAGAGCAATTTACTTAGCTTGAAGAAACACAACTCTCTAATCTGTAAGAATGATCAGAGCTGAGCTGACAAAGCTTTAATATAAAATGAAAAAGGGCTGTAAGGTCCATTTAGATCATATTCTTTCATCTGATGGTGGGTAAATCTGGGGTGTCTCTTACGATCTTCATATGACTTCTTGTGTGTATATTAAAATGGGGCAGGTATGGGCCACCCATTTCATACCTGTGTGCCACCCATATGGGCTTACAATTTGGGAAGAGGTGGAGTCACTATGATTTAACACTCTATGGTGTCAAATGAACACTATCAGAGTTAATTGAGATTAACACTGTAGGAACAACACTCACTGCATACTGTAAAGTGTTAAAGGTAACATTGATTGGTGTGGACCCATATGGACACCATGCAGTGTTAATTTAACACTGGCACATTTGCTGTGTAGTAACATTATATAACATTAGTTTTATATAGCTAACTCTATAGATAACTAAGGATGTATGGATTGGTAATGAAAAATTGATCCTGTTGATAGTTAACATTTCATTTTGATAATCAATTGTAATGTTAAAATATTATTTTTGTTTGCTGGAAATTAAAATTTTCATGCTATTAGAGGGACTACAAGGCAGGAAAATCGATTCTTGGTGCCCCCACCAGGTAAATTTCATCATCTGCACCCCCAGTTTTTTGTCAAGGTTGGATGTCACTAAATATTGGTATCGGGATCTGCATCTATAATACCAACCTTAGTACTGTGTCAAATAGGTGGTATCGCCCCTGCTTTCTGCTGACCATCTCTCATCTACTGCGATGCTGAGCATAGTGGGCGTTTGTAAACTTACCATTCAAGAGATAAACCAAAGCATTCAGTTAGGTGTTATATGAGCATGGATGACAGGATGTCATGATGCCAGAGTTTAAAATGAAAATAATTTAATTTAATAAAACAGTTTACAGTTCCAGTCAAAAATCTGGACACGTCAAGCTGCCTATAGTCCCTGCCAGCAATTGGGGTTAGGGGCCATGGGATTTGAACCGACATCTTTCTGAGTCCCAACTCATAGGGCTACCCCCCCCTACAAATTAATTTATTTAATACTCTCTTGGTCAGGGCATAATTCCATATATCTTATTAATCAATGTTGGTGTGTTTATAATTATTCTAAAATGTAGAACAATGTCAAGCCTCTACAAAGTCAAAAGTTACAAAGGGAAAAGAACGCAAAACTACAAAGAGTTGCTGATTGAAACTGAAGCATTTATTTTATATCTAGCATTCAATAACCCACCCTTAGCAACAGGTCTGCAAAACACTCAGGATGACAGTGCCGATTTCACTTACCTCCATTAAGTTTATTCATACTTTACAAGACTAAAACAATTTAAAAAGGCATTGTAGCAGCTCAGAGTTTTTCCATATTTGTCCACAGGAAGTTTGGAGCAGCACAATATAACCAGGACATGATAAATGGATACTTTGTTAAATGTTTATTGTCTTTTTCTGTCTTAATTGCATGATTCAACATTTGAAGATGTCGCAGAGTGGGAAGACAATAAATGCAACATCCAAACTATATATCTGTCATGACCTGCTCGTACGATCCTCGTGCGTGCCACGCCCCCTCATTACCTACGCATGCTACCCCAATTGTGATCACCTGTTGCCTGTTATTTTCTGCTTGTCTTGTGTATTTAGTCCGCGTTCAGATCTGTTTCCCCAGGTCTGTCATTAACATTCGTCCTGTGCTGCTCCCTGTTTGTTTTATTAAAAAACCCCGTTTACCCGTATTCACGGCTCCCCTCGTCTGCTTCTCCGCTCTCTGCTCATTCGCTTGCACAGGTCGCAACAATATCACCTAGCAGTTTGGTGGTGTAATTGCTAAGCTACACAGACACAGAGCCAGTTATATATATCAGGATATGACACCTCTGGTCAGCATTTTCACACCACCGGAACTTCTTTCCTGGAATCAGAACCTTTTTCTGGAACTGGGGACTTTTGTTGTGTTCATACTTCAGGAACTCAGGTCAATTGTAGTTCCTCTGAGGCAGTTCCTGAACCCTTTTTTAGTACCTACTCCAGACTAATGCTGTGTCTGAATTCAGGGACTGCATCTTTTGAAGGATGCAGTCTATGAAGGTATAGCCTTTGTAGGCTGTATTCTTCAAAGGTCAAACAGAAAGCATTGTCAAATAGCCTAAAGATAATTTCCTATTTGCATCAGTAGCTGTTCCTACTCTTACCCTTGAATCACAAAGTGACACTCCTGTTACCTAGCCAGGACACACCCATTTTACCTCTGCACAATGCATTATGGGATATGTTGGGCTGTAAACTGTTTTCATGACTTCGCAAAACAGGGTTGCATTTTTAGACCACATTTGAAGGAGCCTTCGAAATGGGACAGCCTTGTCACACTGCTGTGACACATTCAGCCTGCAAATGCAGCCTTAGAAGGACGCAGCCCCTGAATTTAGACACAGCCTTTACAAACATGGACTACTGCGGAGGTGCTTGCAGCAATAAATTTGATGATTGGTTGACCACAAGATGTAAAGATATAGCAGAGTAAAAATTGAGCAGATTGAATTATTTATACCCCAATTACATACATCAGTTAATACATTTGTTTGCTTCCGTCTCCATATTTCTGCATCGGAAAATTTGATCGTTAACTAATATACCTTAGTCTAATATTGCCGGTGCCAGTGGTGGAACTTGCCAGCGCTTATTAGAGGGATAATGTTGCGTCACATTTGATTCTGTGGAAATTCATTCTGATGTTTGGCTTAAAGGACACTTACAACCAATACTGTAAAGCTTATCAAAATAGCAACATGTATATACTTGTTTTACACCTGTGAACTCTAAGGGGCAGTAACCACACCATGGCATGAATCTTCCTGGATGATTGCTCTAGTGTCATACCTTTGGGTTCTGCACATGCACACAACAAAATCATGTCCCTT